GTTCAGAATCGTTTTTCGTATACAATGATACCTATCATTGAATTCAAATCTAACCTACCCTAGTCAGAGGTCCACCCCACCACCTAATGTACAGCAGAGCGATACTMAGTTACCCGCTTTTTTTAAATTTATTTGAAATAACCGTTCAGTACTTTACCTTAATATATTTTTATTCAAATAAAAATACTATTGGTAAGTATTTCAAGTTATTGAAATACTTTACTACTAAAAAAAAAAAAAACAATTTTATTTATTCTTTTAATTTTTAATTAAAGGGTTACAATGATCAATGATGAATATTCATTGATAAAGTGTTAGCAATTACCAGGCGTTACTTTCAATATACATTTTTCATTAATTGTCTTAGGTAAGGATGGTGGTGAATAATTATGAATCAAACCATTTGAAAAGTAATTCGAAGTGCAACCTAATAATAAAAAAAACCACATGGTATAATTTATTTTTTAAAATTATAGTTAAAAATTATCATTCTGTAATCTCTCTTTGTTRTTCTTAAAATTGTATCAAAAGCTAACGAAATATGTACATTTAATGTGGGAAAATTATGATTTTTCTAAACAATTTAATGTTGAAGATATATTGTTAAATTTATTTTTACCTTATACATATTCTGCGGAAGTAAATATTAATACACTATTTTAAAACTAATGCATATATCTCACATCACTCCTAATCTAAAAAGGTAATAACTAAGCTAATAATCGATGAACATTACTAATAACCACAATAAATTGCAAATAGTGTAAGTTACCAATGTCTACCGGAAATTAAACTGTCAGAATGTTTGTGTATTTACACATTTTCATTTCAGATGTTTACAAATGATGCTGAATTGTTGAAAGTATTACTCGATGAAAATACATCTCCCCTACATTAGATATGCTAATGATATTTGAATATAGAATATTCCAGAGACAAACTTGTGTTGCTTTTTGATCTGCGGGATCAACTATGTATAACACAGCGTCACAGCACGTCCACCTCTTAAACTTTCAATTTGAGCGAGTTAAAACGGTCCTATGTCCACAAGACTGAATTCAAATTTATACCGTAAATATCAACTCTATAATCTTGATGCCGTTCGATATATTATGAATTCTAGCGTCAAAATAAACGGTCACTTAATACATTATATGTTATCTGTTTAGAACAACCTTTTGTTTCATTATATTATTACTTTATCYGTATACTATATTATATTATAAATCTCACTTTCTAGATTAATTATTTAAATCAAACACAGCTTTCAATCACAGTGGTTACATTTATATTGGCAGAAGTACGAGGCATGATACTGTATTTGAAATATAGAAATCGTTGTTATTTTTTTGTAAAACCGTTCATCTCATTTGTTATAATCAATTTATTTCCATTCAAAATTCAAATTATATTCATGGGCCACAATTTTTTTGATGTTTCAGTGACAAATACGTATCGACACCAAACGGCGTTTAACGTTCAACAAAATTCTTCAAGTCAGTGTTAGGCTATTTCTTGAGCTAAACCAAATATCCGACAAGATAGGTTGGTCAGACTTCCGGCGAGGCAGCAGTCTGCCATCGGTGCCATCAACTGCTGGCACAATGTTTTCCAAACTCAAGTCGGGCACGTCGTCTGTTAGCCAGGGCGCTCAAGTGTTGTCCACCAACAATATCCTCAATCTGTTCGAGGTTGGTAAATTTGTATGCTCGGCTGGTCCAGAGCTCATATGGAAGGTGTACGAAGGGTTCCGAAAACCGGACGGAAAAGTAAGTCACCCATTATTACTAGTGAACATAACGATTAAGTAACGCGTACTACTTATATAGGTCAATAAAATCATTATCGACACAAACTCTAAACAGAATACGATTATGAAGTATCTCAGGTTATATTATCATATTATTATATATTTATGTTATAACAGTAGGTACTTATGATAGATGGTAAACTATATATTTCCTAATAATAAATACCTGTGTTGTAAATATTTTAACTTAATGACTTTTTAGAAATAAAATTGGCAAAATGCATTTTACAACAATCTAATTAACGGTATCATGGAATCAAGTATCACCTTAAAATTACAATTATTGAGATGAAAGATTTAAGTACCGTAATAATATATCTATGAAATAATACTTGCTATATTATAAAAACACTTGAATATTAATTATTATAGGGCCTRGAATTATATGCACTAAATATATACGAAATATTGAGCATGCATATATGCACTGATTTTCATTCAAATATGCAAAAACATGTAAACAAAAATACATTTTTTAATCAAATTTATTTAGCATATATTAAGTGCCTAGTTTATATAAATCAATTGTATTTTGTATGATGTATTCAATTGTATCTTGCATTTTGAACATTCACTCATATAAATAAAAATGCATGATCAAAAATCAATTAAAACAAATTTGATATATTTTTATAATATTTCAAAGTTACATGAAGAGTCACAGTTAACTACTAAAGACTTGAATGCATTTTCAAATAAAAATGTACGTCGATTTTCCGCAAAGATTTTTCTTTTCACATTCGTGGGTAGGACATAGCTTAAAGTATTAATATTAATAACTTAATACTATTTTTTTCATAAATATGCATTATATTTTAGAAAAATGTTAAAATATGCAACATTTAATTTTGSATACCAACACATTAAGTTAAGACTTGAATTGATGTCTTACCTAGTTACTTTTTAATTTAGAAAATAATAATTTGCAAATGCATACAATTCATTGCCCTATTAATTATTATTGAATATTATGCATTAAAAAAAAATATCTATACATAAATATATGACAATTAATCTTTATTAATATTAGTTATTTATTTTTGACATTTTTGAGGAAATGCAAAAATAAATCAAACAATAAATATGGGACAGTATTATTTGTTATAGTTGTGCAATAAAACTTTTGATCAAGTTCACAAAACTCTTTAAAAACTCATTTTGCTATTTTTTTTTTTTTTTATAAAATATTATGTTGTAGTACTCATAATTTATGTAATCAAAAAATATTTTCCTATTGAAAAAAATGTGTACTATTAATGTTGTTTAAGGAGAACAAAAAATATATAATACTTATTATAAATAACAAACGTTTTTAGTGAACAATGCTGAGAATCTACTAACATAATTTGAGCTAGAATTTTGAAATAGTTTATTCATCATAATTATTAAACGATGAACTAAAAATACTATTGAATGAAAATCCAATATATTCGCATTATATAGTAACCAGAGAATAAATTTCAGAAGCTATATAGAAAATTGTATACGAAATAAACCTAGAACTATGCGTTGTAATCTAACAACAGGAAACTCCTTATATACTAACACATAATAAATTACTTCAAAAGTATACTCGTTTATATTCTCCAATAAAACTATTCTTTTCAAACTCCGATAGWTGATCGATCTTCACCTATCACCTATCCTTAAGATAATATACATACCATAATTGATGAGAAACATATAAAATATTCAGCAATTAATGAATCACAAAGTATACTTTAAATAGTTTTTCTGCAATATTATTACAGGTATCTTCTATGATTGGGTCGAAAATCCACAGCAAAATAATAGAACTATTAAAACTAAAAAAATTGATTTTACTTAAAGAAAAAATTAAATAGCCATAGAGCTATTAGCTAATAATAGGAAACCTTTAATTCATTAATTATAATTTTTTGACACAGAATATGTTATATAAAAACAGCATGTTTGGCAAATGTCAATAATTATGGATAAAATATTACATGAAATAAAACCACCAAATAAAAAACMTGAGTTTAAACAGAAAATAAAGAATTGTATTAAATCTTCTACGCAGTGACAAAACCAAGTTTACTCTCTTGTGGCAAGGGAATAAGTAGGTAYATTTTGGTGTTAGGATGACGGACAAATATGATATAACTAAATGCCATATATATAATATTCTTAAAGTTCAAATCTACATAATTTAACACCACCTAGATACCACACTTTAACTAGATCAAAAAATTAATTATTCTTGTAAAAAATGTAATGTAACTGTCTGATGGTCTATATGAGTATATGACTATATTATACATCAATAAAAATAATAAAAATAATAATTACTTATTTCAGAAAAACTTTACTTGAATATTAGATTCAGAACGGAGTGATGAATGTATTGATTTTACAGTGATGTGTGTTTTTTTTTTGTATGTGTCTGTGTACAGCATAACTAGTGGAAATAATGTTTCAATTTCAAACTTTGGGGGTGGTTTCTGATGGAAAAGTGAATATCCTTATTGAATTAGAGAATTAGTGAATTAGAGATTCTTTTTAGAGAATATCGATTTTATAGATTTTCTGTATTTACGTATATTAATTTGTATTTACCTGAACTGAAAAAAAACCTTACTCTAATCAAGTGATAATATAACTAAGTAAAATTTWCTTATTTTTATAAAAAAACCACCCAAAATATAAAAAAGCGGGTAATGGATGGAATTAAATTTTAATCCAATGATATTATATCATTGTATATGAAAAGCGATTCTGAGTGGAGATGGTTTATCTGTCTAGGATATATTATAGATTATTAAAAAAATTAAAATCTTAGATTTAAAAAGTTGCTCAAATGTTTTGAAAATTTTACCATGTCTATGTAAGGCTAATATAGGGAAACAACCAAAATTTCAAGTTTTTACAAATGTTTTTAACYAAATTACAACAGAAATCTCCCATAATTAAAATGTCTATAAATAGCACAAAAATTGCTAAAATTTTCCGARCTTTAAACCGTAAGGAACAAAATTCAAAATAAAACAAAAAATATCTCTTGTCATTTTTAAATTTAAAGCAATATTTTTRGTAGAAAACGTCGTCCGTAATTATTTAATATWATAASATCGTGAAATCGTACATTTTTTTCTTTAACTGCTATTATTTCGAGTACCGTTTCGAAAATCGAAAAATGACTTTTCTAAAGTACCAAATCAAGAACATTAACTTTCAGAAAAGATGTTACACTTGATAATTTTGAGCAAGTTTAGAGGGGGRAAAAGTGTTTACGGAATAAAAAATAAAAATAAATAAACATCATTGTAAAACCAATACATTCCTCATCGCTCTGCTTAGAATATAAAAAAATATTAACGATTTGTATTGATTATTTGTTCGTTTGGTGGTTCATACACTTGAATTTAATGTTAATTTTTTGACATGCAATTTGGATGCACTGAACATAAAAAATATATAATGGTGATAATTTCAATTGCAGAGTTAAAAAATAATTTATTATGATTTTAATCATATCATAATATCATGCTACTAAAAATAATACATTTGATTTTAATTGTTCTCCAGTTTAAATTGTTTTGCGATAAAATATTTTAAAATAATTGTATGGTATCATTTAAAAAAATTTAATGAAACAATTTTATTATATTCAGCATTCAATTTTTTTAGTATCAACTGTACCTATCAAGTATGCAATGTTAAACTAAAAATATGCCTACAATTTATTTTATTTTGTAGGTACTATGCTGTTTCGACCTATGATGATTAGTTTTATACTCGTTAAATGATTTATTGAAAATTTTATTTTTGAAAACTAGTTGTCATGATATATATATTGCTGCACTTAACCGCAGAACTTAAAATATAAATGTTCTTATAATAAATCTATTTTTATATTTATTTATTTTGACTTATTTCATAAATGTTTAATAACAAGAAAATGATGGCATTATTATTTGGATTTGGAAACATTTTATTATTTCAATCAACCGTTAATTATAAAATCATGCCACCGTTTAAGTTTAAACMCTTAAATTTAAAATTCTGAAACTTACACTAAAGATCTAAATAATTAATTAATAGTGGACCAAAAGGTATATACTGTGAAAATTATTGTTGAACCACATAAATAAAATATTAAACTCAATGGTAACCTTTAAATTAATAATTATTTGACTTCAAAGGATTGTTTTTCAATGTTATTATGAGCATTATTTTTACTAGTTTCTATTAAATTGTTAAATTGTTTATTACTGATGATTGATGAATTATAATGAACTTGAGGATAAATCATTTAAAATAATGAGTAGGATTTATAATATGCTGAAGTTTCCATTTCCTGCTATTATTACGAACACAACACCATTTTCTAAGAATTTTTTAATGAGATTTGTAGCAATCAGCATCTAGTTACATATTTACTACCAGCAATTCAGATATCCTATTTAAAGTATCCTATTAACCTATTCGCACACACGAAGAAAAATATCTCACCATGACATAAACTTTGATGTAGATAGGTAAGAAGGAATTTAATATGTATCCTTGTTTAATGATGTAACAGTGTGATAATATAGGTATTTGATTACAAAATATCGTCGGTRAAATATTTAATTATATCATATACAATTTATACACCTTATGATAGGTTTTCTGATATTGCTATACCATCAATTGTTTAGTTAAAAACCGATTTTGTGTAAAAATGTCAATTTTTTCTTATGTTGTTTTCTCAGCGCGTTTGTAAATTACTAAGAATTTTCACCTCCCAATACACCAACTAGATTAACTTTCTCATCGAGAAAGCCACTGAAGTTGAAACACATTGTTTCGACTACTTATCGTGTACACAGATATACGAAAAAAATATATAAATAAGAAACACGGATCATTGTAAAATCAATATTTTTATTAGTTCGCTTAGAATCTAAAATTATTGAGAGTGAATTTTTATTTGCTTTGGAAAAAATACGATATTAT